TATGTATAATCTAGACCAATAAATATTCCCTGGGCAGTGTACATGATAGTAACTGTTTCTGATTGTAGTGATGGGACTTAAGCCAAGGCACGTTAATGATAGATTTTCTGCCTATGTACTGTAATCAGTACAATCTCAGCCTAGTGCATACTGGGACAATGCTTCCTGCTCAGTAATGTGAGATGGTATCAAAGCTCAGTCATTTCCACTCTGAATGATGACTGAGTGGGAAACCCTATATTATATATAGAGTATATAGGATAAATTGCTTTGTGTACTCACCATGAATATACATCATCTGCGAGTTTGAACTTTTTTTAAACATATTTTTCTTAATAACATTATATTATATTATATCATAATGTATATCCAGGGTCATCTTCATGAATAATGTCCAGACTGGACCGCAATTCTAATGGTGGTTCATTAAATTTGCTCTCTATTCTCAGAGATGGCCCAATGTCTAGTGAATGGATAAGCTGCATTGTTAGTTCTGTCATTGTTTGATAGGCTGCTTTTACAGGGATATCATCTGTCTTATATATGCTATATGCTTGATATATGCTTATTCATGCTGCTGGTCTGTAATGAATTGACAGGCTGCACTTTAATGATTCCAGAGGAACACATTTAGGAGGTGCTGGGGTTTCTGTGCTTATTCAAATCCTTCAGATGCAAGGCAACAAAACTCAATGGTTTTGATAAGGCAGCTCTCAAACACAACTGGCCTCCCTGGTTGGGTATCCAGAAGCAACTCAATGTTTACAAATAATTGGCACCAAACCAAAAGGTGAAACAAATTATGAATAATTGAAGGCACTTTTGGACTCTTTCCCCTTTTGGCTTGGAGCCCATTATTTCTAAACATTGAGGCACTTTAAGTGATGTCTGTGGTTTCTCGTGAATGGATAGGCTCCATTTTTAGTTTTATCAATTGCTGTTCTTTAGCAAATGGATAAGCTGTATTCTCCTTTATGCTACTGGTCATTAGTGCATGAATAGGCTGCACTATCAATGATGTCTCTGGTGTCTCTTGAATGGGTAGGCTGCATTCTTAATTATGTCACTGATCTTTAGTAAATGGATAGTCTGTGTTCTTAGTAAGGTCATCCTCAGTGATGTCACCTTTCTTTAGAGAACAGATAATGTAGGCTTCAGTTCCACTGATGCCACTGGCATATGCTGCATTCTCCATGAGTTCACTGGTCCCTCTTGATCTGATAGGCTACATTCTCAATGATGTCACTATACTACTTGCTAAGAAATGCTTTAGTTAGTCATATTCTTGGTTTCTAGTGAATTTATAATGGGATTCTCAATTGCATTTTCACTTTCTGATAAATGCATATGCTGCCTTTCCAGTGGTGTCAGCAGTCTTTAGGAAATGCATAGGATGTGTTCTCAATGATGACACTGGTTTCTAATTGATGTATATGTTGCATTTTCACTCATTGGTTTTGGTTATTCCCTAAGCTGAATTATGAATAGCTTTCCTACAATTGGGTACTTAGGGTCCACAACTGACAGAGACTGAAATATATTGTTGCTGGCATATACTGTACCACATGCTATGAGTCAATGGCCTTCCTCTAGACGTTCTACCAATCGTTTGTCCATATCCCGGCAGACTGAAAACAATACCTTTATGAAGCTGAAATAATGATACTTTCTTTCTTTTATAGCATTCTCATTTCATTGCCGAGCTCAGGCCTAATCCATATACTAGACATGGATTTCCCTCTAGACATTAAAAAAAAAAAAGAAACATTTCCAGGCTGTCTCTATGAAACCACTTCTTCAAATCACAAACCTCTTTCAGCAGATGGATGTATTCAGGGATGAAACGGATGGATGTCAAGGACAGATATTGCAATTTTATTCGGTTGTCCGCTTTGTCCAAAAATTGTGTTTAATGCTATTTCTTTGGCGTGACAATGACAACAGCAGAAGTGTACAGTATATATATATATATATATATATATAGCCAAAATGTTTTTCCTGGTTTTGGATATAGTGAAAGGTTAGAACCCCTATCATGTCTCCACTGAGGAGATTAAACCTTTTTGTAACTCCCCCTGCTATGTAGAGATTTATGTTGCATCTATGGGACGATAAGTGAAGGAAAATCTCTCCAAGGAGGACAAAGGCACCATAAACCTTTCCCTACTATATCTCAAACAATCCATACACTTTAAAGCAGAGCTCCAGTTTCAAATGTCTACTTGGGCTAGTACAGGATGTAGTCACTCCCATGCCTTGCTTTTTTGCTTGAGATTGTTGCATTCAGCAATCCTCTAAGCCACCTCTAATGTCTTTAATTTAACTTACAGTCAGCATTGCAAAGCCAATTCTTGCCCTGACAGATTGTCTTTTGAATGTCCCCCCTTTTGCTGTTTATACTACTGACATCAGCAGGTTTAGAGCTGCTGCCCACCCAACCAGAGAATTGGGAGGGGAAGAAGGATGGGATTGGTCATATGACTGCAACTTTATAGTTCTTGTAGGTATAGTTCATAGCTATTCTAAATAGTAATAGCTTGTGTTGACCATGAAAAGGAGGAGGGGCTGGCTGGAGTTCTGCTTTAGGGACATAATTCAAAGCGACACAAAAGTCAGGAGTTAAATCTTAAAAATTAACAAAAATGTAGCTTATCTGTGTATCACTGAGCTTGGAGCGGTGGCTACTTTACAACACACACAGAATACACTCTCTCTGTTAGTCCTGGTGACCATTGTCTTTGGTACTGGAAGTAATGGGGAATCCAACATTTTTTAGTTTTTACAGAGACAGAAGGTGAGGAGAGATCTTCCAATAGGTAAACCTGTCCTGGTGACAACTCTCTAAAAGGGGTAATCCACGGGGATGTCTTTATAATGTTATGTTGCAGC